CGATGGAGGTCAAAAATATTATAGTCATTGATGGTGGCTAGGAGGAAATAGGATGACAATCGATGGTCGGGTGTGAGTCCACTTATAATAGGTGGTCAGGCAAAAGTCTAGCTAAAGTCCAACGACAGTCTGTGGTTGGGCGGTGGTCGAGGAGAAGCTTGGTGGAAAGTGAGATTTCAGATTTCTCTTCCTAACCTCTATTCTTTTTCTTCATTGCTTGGTCTCCCCTCAATGAAGAATGAGAGTTTATTTATAATTTATTGGGAGTTGCATAGAAAGTAAATAAGGAGAAGATCAAGGGCATGTTGGGAGTGTTTAGAATGGAAGGTCGATATCTACTCCCTTAATTATAAATTATTTATCAAGCATTTGAGTTCCTTAATGATGTCACTTGGTCTCATTCGATTCATCTCTTCGAGCCGCTCAATTTGATTATAAGCATGTTACACTTAGAAATCATTTGATCTTCCAATTTATAGATTGAACTTTCCAAATGTGTTTCGGGTGTTCGATTTGGACCCATTCTGACTTGTATTGGGTCGAATTTGATGTTGTTGAGTTTATCTTTTCAATACGTTCAGTTCGACTATAAGCTTGCTTGTATCGAAGTTCGGATGGTCCTGAATTTAATTTTAGAACTTTTCAACTTAACTTTTTTCTCGAGATTCCTGCCCGAATAAGATAAATTTTTTATGATATTTCAATTTTTTTTATTTTTTTTTTATTTTTTATGATTCTTTTTTTTGGCTAATGTTGTACCCCGCCCTCCTACCGTCGGGAGAGGTCGTCCTCTCCCCCCTTCGGATGGCCCTCAATCCGAAGGATTTTCCCTCCCTACCTGGCTCATCCACTCCTCCACCCTTGGGGCTTTCCTATGCTGAAACTGCTGCCACCCCCCCCCTCTAACCCTGAGCCTTTCCCTGTTATCTTCTACCCGCCAAAACCAAAACTTTCATTTCGTGCTGATGATTTGTCTGAAGGTTCTTCTCTCTGGAACTTTTCTCTAGTTGGATACTCTTTGGGTCAACGTCCTTCTATGAGCGGCTTCTCTCGGCTATGAGAAAGGTTTGGCCTTTGAAAGGTGCGATCTCTCTTATATCGCTAGCCGATGGATTTTTCCTTATTAAATTCTCATCCCATGAGGATTATGATGCTGTTTGGTCTGGGGGACCTTGGTTTTTACTTGGGAAACCATTCATTTTGCAACAATGGTCTCCCAAGTTTAAGCCTAAACGGGATGAGAACGCTTCCATTCCTATCTGGATCAAGATTGTGGATTTTCCTTTGGCGCTATGGACCCCAACTGGTATTTCAAAGATTGCAAGCTATATTGGTATTCATTTAACTGTTGATTCTTTAACTGCTAAGAGATCCTGTCTTACCTTCGCCCGAGTCTGTGTTCTCATCTCCAAAGACTCACCTCTACCGGATGAAATATCGTTGGATATTGATGGTGAAGACTTAATCCTCAAGGTTCTCTATGACTGGAAGCCCACCCCTTGTGAAGGTTGTCGTTCACTAGTACACCCCTTCTCAATCTGTCCCAGAAACCCAAACCCCTCTCCACCTGTTTTACTTCCTCCACGCCCTCCTGGTAGAAGCTCCAGCCGTCCACCCCGTCCTAACTCTAGACCTAACTCCAAACCTCCTTCTCAGCCTGCACTTAATGTGCCTCTTCAACCTCTAACTCCCCTTCTTAACTCTTCAGTTATTGCTACTCCCTCTGGGGATGCTGCTCTTCTAAATCAAAATGGTATCCTGCCCTCTATTGGTGCATCTACCAATCCCACTACCAAATCTCTACCCACCATTAACAACAATTCCCCTAACCTCCTCAAACCCTAAAAAACTATCATCATACCCAACCTGAATTCACCCAATGAAAACGCTTCTATGGAAGCTTCTTCTTCCTCCACACCTCCCTTCATTCCTAACATCCTCATTGGTTTATCCTCTTTGAACCTTTCCACCTCTAATAAATTCAAAGCCCTCCTGGAGGATGACCCTCCCTTGGAAGATGACCCTCCCTTGGATGCTGAAACCAACCCCCCTCTCACTGAAAAACCCATCCAAAATATTCCTTCTCCATCCACCTCCTCCACCAAATCCCCAAACCATCCTCCTCCTAAAACCAATACCCAATCCTCTCCTCTCTCTAAGCATTAGAGTGAAATCTACCAAAAAAGGAAAACCTTTAAAATCTAAATCATAATGTCCTATCCCAATATAGCTTATTGGAACATAAGGGGGTTTAATAGACCCGACAAAGTTATGTTGTGCAGAGATTTAGTTCGGGTTCACAACCTGAAATTTTTATGTCTTCTGGAAGCTAAAGTGATTCCTTCCTATGTTGATGACGACTGGTTTCTTAGATCTCATATGGTTTTTGAGAATGAATTTCATTGTCATAATTTTGGCTGTTCTTCCTTAGGGAGGATTTGGATTAAATGGGACCCTTATTTTGTCTCCTTTTCTCCTACTTTCCTCTCTTCTCAACTCATTCATGGTGTTATTTCCATGGGAACCCTCCCTCCTTTTCAGATTTCAGTCATTTATGCAACAAACAATGTAGATGAAAGGGCTTCTCTTTGGAATAAGATCAGGGAATTGATTCCTTCTTCGCCTCTTCCTTGGCTGGTTATGGGAGATCTGAACTGTTACAAATTTCATAATGAAAAGGCTGGTGGTAATCATGTGCCTACTAGCAAACTTCAAGAGCTTAATGGGACTATTTTTGACTGTGGTCTGCATGACCTTGCTTCCGTTGGGTTGTTTTTCACTTGGCATAACCAAAGGGCTGATGAGCCTATTCACATCAAGTTAGACAGGGTGATGGTCAACTCCTGTTTTCTGGATCATTTTCCTTTGGCCCATTATAAGGTTGCTTCTCCTAATGGATCTGACCACTCTCCTCTTATTACCTCCATTGCTTCTAACAATCAGTTTTTATTTAAGAATTACTGGACTTTCATGGATGGTTTTTGGGAAGATGTCTTTACAGTTTTTTTTCAACCTTCTAATAAGGGGCCTATATGTCATCTTCACCATTGCCTCCAAAATCTCAAAGGTGCTTTAAAGAAAAGGGTTTGGGATTCCTCCAACCATTTATCTAATCAAATTTTGGAGCTCAAGAATCAACAGCTTATTTGTTTAGAGCAAATTCAATTGATGCCTTTGGACCCATCTTTGAATTCTTCTTTAAAAATTATAAACAGCAACCTTACTAGCCTTCAAGCCTCTTGGGCTTCTTGGGTTTCCCAACGTGCTAAAGCTAACTGGCTTTCTCAAGATGTTGATGACTTAGGCTTCTTATATGCCAAGATTCGTGCAAGGAGGAACCACAACAATTTATTTGAAATCACTGATGATCAAGGGATTCATGCTACCCCTCAGGATATTGCTTCTGCATTCATTCCACACTTTAAAAACCTCTTCAACGCTTCAAAACCAATTAATGCTGAGAACTTCTCTATTAATCCTGGTATTTGCATCCCTCAAAACATGATGGATCCTCTGATTACTCCTTTTACTTATGATGAGATTAAGCTGGTGATTTTTAGTGGGTATGACTCTTCTGCTCCGGGGCCTGACGGATTCACCTTTGCCTTTTTTAAGAGAACTTGGCATATTTCTGGACCTGTCATTTGTAATGCTGCCATGGAATTCCTTAACTCCGGTTACTTACCTAGGAGTGTCAAAGCCACGGCTTTGGCTCTTATTCCTAAAGGAGCCCATGTTTCCTCTATTTCTGACTTCCTCCCCATTTCATTATGCAATGTGTTGTACAAATTCATGGCTAAGCTGGCGGCTAATAGACTTAAGTTGTTTTACCTACTATCATTCATGAAAGCCAAATGGGGTTTATCAAAGATCGTTGTTCTACCGACAATATTCTTCTAGCTGCTGAAATTTTAAAAGATTTTAAAAACTCTTTTTGTGCCAAGTTGGACATTCTCAAAGCCTTTGACACTGTTTCTCACGACTTTCTTTTTCAAAGGCTTAGGCAGAAAGGTTTTCCGGAGTTATTCATTAAATGGGTCAAAGGATGCATCTCCAATGTTTTCTTCTCCATCTGCATTAACGAGGCTTTGAATGGCTTTTTTGGTTCCTCCTTTGGGTTAAGACATGGTTGCCCCTTATCTCCACTTCTTTTCTGCATTTTTATGGACGGCTTCTCTTGTACCTTGGAGAACGGTAACACTCAATTCATTGGGCCTCAAATGAAAAATCTTTCCATTACGCACCTTCTTTATGCTGATGACGTTTTAGTGTTTGGAAAGGCCTCATCTTTTAATGCTCATACTCTTGCTAAAGCCATTTCTATTTTCTCTAATGCATCTGGCCTCTTTATTAATCAAGCAAAGAGTTCTATTATTTTCTCTAAGGATGCTGCTAATACCACTGCCATTTGGTAATTGCCTGGGCATCACCACTCAAAGCTCCTTCCTCAAATATATTGGGATACCTGTTGCTACTGGCCGCCTCAATTATTCTCACTTCCAGCCACTCACGAGTAAAATTTTTACTCTACTGGATGGCTGGAAAGTTAAATTTCTCTCTTTTTCAGGTAGGGTTCAATTCATCAAGTTCACCATTGCTAATTTTCTTGCTTATTGGATTAGAGGATCCATAATACCTAAATCCTATTGTAAAGTCTTTTCTAGGCTTTGCTCCAGGTTTCTTTTTCATGGCAAGATTAATGATAGAAAGCACCATCTGATTTCATGGAGTGCCACTGCCATGCCTACCAGATTGGGGGGGATTGGTATTCCTTCTGTTGATGCTCTTATCTATGCCAACCACTGTGCTTTTATTTGGAGATTCTTTACTAGGGAAAATTTGGCTATGGCTTGGTTTAGAAATAAATACATTTCACCTTGGAAATCTCTTATTTCTACATCTTCGAAATTCTGGAGAAAGGTGCATGAAACTGCTTTCACTATTAAAGGGAAATTTTCTTTTAAACCATCTAGAAATTGCAATTTATCTATGGAATGGGATCATTGGTGCAATGATAAAGCTCTTATAGATATTATGCCTTCTTTCAAATTTGAGAAACATTACGTGCAATGCTACACTGACTTACATGGCTGGATATTACCACCTCACATCCCGACCTTGGTGCTTACTGAGATTATGGATGTGCATTTTTCTGTACAACTGATTGTTTCTTGGAATGGCTCTATTAAACCTACCTCTCAACTTTTTACAACAACTATTTTGGAGCTTTTGAGGAGGTTATTTGGCACAAATTTATTTGGCATAAGAAAAAATCTCTACGATTTTCTTCTTATGCCTGGATGACTATGCTGGGTAAATTAAAAACTGATGATCAACTTATTCTAAGAGGGATTGACGCTTTAGCTGCTTGCTCCTTTTGCTGTGTTGGTAGTGATTGCCATTCCCATATCTTTTTTAGTTGTGACTACTCCTACATTGTCATTACCTCCCTTTTACCACCTCTGGGAGCCTTTCTCTTAAGACCAAATCTGATGCAAATTTTTCAGTGGTTTGATGAATCTATGGATTACTGTTTCTGGGAGAAAAACTTTTGCTATTTCACCATTTGTTGCACTATTTATTACTTATGGCGTGAAAGAAATTCTATGAGGTTTGAGAATGTTTGGAAAAGCCCCTCCCAACTGTTCTACATTATTCGTAATGCTATCATTGCCAAAGTTAAATACTGGAAGAGATTTGATAAGCTTAAAAGAAGATTCTTTTTTCTTTGTTAATTCTGTTTTGACTGCACCTGTTTTGTCCAACTATTCGGTGGCGTCTATTATCTGGAGGTTGCAGTGGTTGGTGAATTCCCATATGGTTTTACCTTAAGTTCTGTTTTACTGCTGCGAATAGATGGTTATGGACCGTAACTTCATAATGTTGTTTTGCTTTTTTTGGGTGACTGGAATCACATACTGTCTCAATTTGCTGCTGAGGCTGAATCTAGATGTTGCTACAAGTTTTTTGGCGGTACCTGTATTTTTGTTCCTTCTACAGGTTGCCTGGACTGATATTTTTGCAAAGACGATGATGAATGCTGGATTTTTCAGCTACCCCTTGGACGGACGTTATGGCAACCAGGGGTTTGTGTCCTGCCCAGACCCTCCCGAGTTCAGATCATACAAGATATCGGCAGTACAACTTGAGTCCTTTTGGCTTTTCAGCCATTTTTGTTCTTTATTATTGCATATTTGTAATTTTCATTTTAGAACTCCTTAACTTCTTTTTAGTTAGGGAGTTATAGTTTTGATTCTTACTTTACTTGTAACCTTTTTATATTAATGAACAAAAAAAAAAAAACACATTATTAAACATTCCGTAGTGAAATTTTATTTGTTTGTGGGATTTACAAATCTACCATAACATTTTTATATATTCACATATTTTACATCTATACATTTATATGTTCTTATTTAATAAATCAATATATAAATCACATCAAAATATATTCATGGAAAACATATACTTAATTAAAAAATTAATATTAATAACTTTTTTTTATTATGACAAATCATTTATTTGTTTTACAAATAAATATAAAATTTTAAATATTCAACATATTAGATAAATAATTTTCCCCCCTTACTAGATTTTTCCAACATATATAAACATTTAGCACATTATATATACATACACGTACACACACATATGCATCATCCTTGCCAACCCTAAGTCCTGAATGAGAAAAGTGAGAGATTGCATTATGTAGTTGACAACCAGCATAAAATATATCAAATACTCATTACATGAAACCTTTATATATGTATATATATATATATGTATGTATATATGTATGTATCTATGTATATGTATGTATCTATGTATTCCCATGCATATGCAGGGAGCTTGCTAGTATTATATTTATATTCATCTTAAATTATAGTAGAAAAAAAACAAGGGTTTTGAGGGAATTAAACAAGAAAAAGAAAAACTAATATAAAACTTCAAAGTTTAAATAAGTAAAGGAATATTTTGCAATTCTCAACCATTTATCTAATTTTGGAGTCCTCTCCTTTTGGTGTAACCAAGAACCAAAAGACTTGGGAGCATAATTTAGCCCAAGGTTTAACTAAAAAATCAAGAATCCCCTATATATATATATATATATATAATAGTTCATTTGAATCTTTGATATGTAATAGACTGAGATCAACTAACTCATAATTTAAAAATTCTTCATTACCGTCTACATGAGCTTACCTATTTCCTCCACTCCTGTCGTCAATGATCCTGTAAACATTTCCATCTGCAGCCATTGCCATCAGAAAACAAGCATTAATGCAAGAGAAAAAATAATTATAATTCATCTACTATGTATATAACGTGCTGAATAATCTGATGTAGACCTTTCAGAAAGGTATATCAAAATAGTGCTGAAATTTTGCGAGGTTTTTATTTTTATGAAGAGAACGATTGCTTAAATGGAGCAAATATATATCTCACCTCAAGCAGCAGAAGCAAGAAAACTACCATGATAATTAACCTGGCTCTGGCCATTGGAAAGTAGTATAGACAGATAGAGAAGCTGAAAGAGCAAAGGTTTGGATAGAAATGCCTAATGGCCTTCTTATAGAGTTGCAGTAACAGACAAAGCCAGGCGCGGGCACTTAATGCGTGCCATATTGCGTGCAACTGTGCAAGTCTCTCTGGACGCTGATGCTCTCCGCATCAGGCATTTCATGCTGCTGTGTCTGCTGTTGTTTATTTAATATTTTCTTTAGTCGCATCCAACCATCAATGGATAACAAAGCTCATTTACAACCAATTTTCATGGGCTTAAAGATATGAAAGTTCAAGGCCCATTATATAGCTATAGAGGATCTATCTTATTATACTAAGAGAAAGCAAAAACTATACAAAATGCCTTTTTTACATTAGTTGATAGTGACGGTTTGCAAACTGTTACTATAGTTTTAATTTGATGGTCTTCTCATAATTAATAAATTAGATTGGTCCTACTTACTAGAAGGTTATTAAACTAAGTATTGGGAAATAACATTAGACTAAATAATAAGGAGAAATCACAACCAAACAATTATGCAAGTTTGCAATTTAAATCATGCCAAATCAAAGTTTTGAATTTCTGCAATGATTTTGAATTTTTACAATGATAAAGATGAATAATGGTTTTAACTGCTATTATATTATAACAAAGAAGCGGTTAAAACTGCTACTATACTACATAATTGTAACAATTTTAACCGTTGCAATTCTATACTATAGCAGTGATTTTAACTGCTATAAATGAAACCCATTGCCAAAGTCTTTTCCAACCAATATAAATATAATGGATTTGTTGCGGTTAGAAAATTGCTGCATGAAATTTAGTAGCGTTTTAAATTGCCGCAATAGTTAAAAAAAGCGTTGCTAAAGCCTTATTAATTAGAAGTGAAAGGCGATCCTCTAATTTCACCATTAGTGATGACTGATGATAGTGATGGTTGTTTAAATTATGAAAGAGTTTATGGGTGACACTTTGTTATACTTAACTAAATTGTTTGAGAGGTTACTCATAATGAGTTGCTTGAGATTTTTTATAATCTTAGTTACAGGTTAAGTTCACAAAATTTTTTTTTAACTTCAAATAAGAAATGTTCACTTGCATGAATGCAGGGTGCCTCAATTAAAGGAACATAGTGCAAGTATAAATGATGGTAAATCATTACTGTACATGTTTAACAACTTTGATATAATTAGTAGTACCTAACTGGTCAAGATATCACATTGCAATTTGTGTAATTTGATATCAATTTATTAATATGTGGCAAAAGAGAGATTAGAGGAGATATGAGAAAGAAAGAGAGCTCGTGGACCTATAATTGTCGATGGGTTTAATGATTTTATATGATCTCGAATCTAATTATTTAATTTTTGAAGTACCATCTAGTAAATTCTTAAAGGTTTCAACAAACCATTACTTTATTGTCTATTTGCATTAATAAAATTATAATTTTTATAATTAATAGACAATTTTTAATGAATATATTCATTTCAGTATGTCAGATTATGAAAATGGCTAATATGATATAAGTAATTAAAATATTAAAATACTAATTAACATCTATCTTATGGGATACTAATGAAGACTTATAACTAATTCTTAAAAGATGAGATGATACAGTAAATAAAAAATAGACAATTCACACAAATATGATATAAGTCTATAAGAACAAATAATTTTTTAAATAAAATTAATCTAAATGGCTTAGAGATCAATTATGATGAATTATGCACGGATAATTAACTTGATAAATGAACTTTTAAACATTAGGATTCTTTGAAGGCATTCATCATTAAGAAGATTTCTCCATGGGTCAAACAAGTGCCCAAGAAGATTTCTCTCACTCATGCAGTTGGCCAATCCTTTGTATAACACATGAAAACTTATAGATCATAATCTCTCAACTGCCATCTACTCTATAACAACTCTTCCAATTTTGCCCAATCCTCATACACTTGGTCCGTAATTGAAAAGAGGCTCCAACAATCTAATAGATCACATGTGATACAACTCAAGAATTAGCTTCATCACTTTGCAAAGAACAATAGGACCATGATAAAATACTTATCTGATGTCAAGCTCTAGTTGACAACATTGTTGTACGTGAAGCATTCCTATATGATGATGATGACGACGACATAATGTTTCATATCGTCAACAACTTACCCACTTCATATCATGCCTTCAAGAATGCTGTCCACACCACTATTCATCCGATAAGCCTAGATGACTTCTTCTCTCTCTTATGAAGTGAAGAGATTCATACTGCAATTGATAATACAAAAGAGTGTACCGCAGATTACACCGTCGACCTTACCAGAAATAGATATTGAAGGTCTTCTTTCTCATATGGCATACGGGGGCATGATGAAGCAGAGGATCTCTATATTACTCAAATGAGCAAGGAAAATCATGCTATAACACCATATTTTGCCAAGTCTATGCTAAATAAAACCTTTTATCCCTTCAATTCTGACATAAACTGAACCCAACCTTCACACAAGCCACTCCTATGCCATCCCAATGGGCATTGGTCACAACATTGCAACCCAATAACTCTAAATGGTACCTTGATTCAAGTTCCACTGCTCACTTAACATCTAATGTTGAGCATCTGTAGCAAGCAACCACTACATTGGACCATGCAACAGTCTTGTTGGCAACGATACCACTCTAGCACTTCCCCATTCTGACCAAGGTTTGCTACCAACTCCTATCAATAAGCTTTATTTCTCTAAACTCTTTCACGTCCCAAAAATCTCTCACAATCTTATCTCCATAACTTAGCTGTGGATAACAATCACTCTATTTCTTTTGATGGCGTTAAATTTTCACATAAATAATCTAGCAAAAAATATCCTCCTTCTTCAAGGTATGTGTCGGAGAGGTCTCCATTCCCTTTGTAAAGCAAGAGCTTCGTCATCCCTAGTTACTTTGGCTTTTGCACACAACACTCTAATCTTTGGCATCAATAACTCGAACATCCACATCCTCCACCATTGCAACCTTCTCTACACGCAACAAAATGTTATGTATTCCTTCTTCATTTTCTTTTTGCAAAGCATGTAATGAAGCTAAGGCTCATTGTATTTCATTTACTTTATCTATTATTCACTCTTCTAAACCTCTAAGCTACTTCACTTCAATGCATTGGGACATTGCACATATATTTTATCCACTACAGTTTCCAATTCAATCAAGCAAATCCTTCTTTCTTACCATACAAGCATAATGGTATAATTATTTTTTTTCTAATTTATGTTGATAAAATCTTCGTGATATGAAATGATCCAACTAGCACACAAAAATTGTTTCAAGACCTAACAATGCTTCAACATGAAAAATCTCGGCTCGATCTCCTACTTTTCGGATATTGAAGTCATCGGAAAATTCCAAGGGTAATTTCTATGTCAATCTCAATATTCAATTGATTTTCTACAGGAATTAGACCAGACATATTGCATCTCCATTTCTATCCCCTGTTTTGCATCTCCATTTCCATCCCCTGTTGAAAACATGGTAGAAGCCTACAACAAAAACTCAGCCCTTTGGACCAAAAAATTTTGGAAGCTCACTCAGGCGCTCTATACTTGACAATTAGTTGCCCAGATGTAGCCTACATTGTCAATTAACTCTGTCAGCATATGCATGAACCCTATGAGTATCATAATCAAGAACTTAAGTGACTTCTAAGTTAGGTAAATAGTACCATTGAGTTTGGCTTACCCATATAAAGAGATCCATTGAGTCTTCATAGCCATGTAGATGCAGTCAACTAATTCTATATGCTGCAAATCCATCTCAAGTTTCTGCTCCTACCTAAGAAACACTCATTTCTTGGACTAAAAAAAACCAACCCAGAGTGGCAAGATCCTCCAATGAGGCCTAGTATCACACTCTAGCATTGGCAACTACTAATATTATTTGGCTATGATGCCTCATTTAGAACTTTCATATCACTCTCACTGAGCTGACATCTATTCACTATTGAAACATATCTATCATGTCTGTCACCAATAGTCCCATATTTAGTCCCATATTTCATGCTAAAAAAATACATTGAAATTAATTTTCACTTCATCACCAACACATTCACTCTAAGGAGATTCAAGTTCAACACATCCACTCACATGACCAACCAACTGACATTCTAACAAAGTCTATATCCATTGAATGCTTTGCAAGATCAGAGAGAAGCTAACCATTCGTTTTGATTTAGTTAGCGTATGGGGAGGTAGTAACTACCCAAATGATGAAAAGGTGAATGGAGTTACCATCCTTACTACTTTATAATCTCAACCATTCAAGCATAATCCAACACAAACATCGCCACTCAAGCATTAGTGTGGCTATAACATAGCAATTGTCTACTTCTACATTCTATATAATATGTATATTGTTCCATATATTGTGAGAAGCCAAAAATAATAAATAGCTTTACTTATACCATTCTACTTCCTCTTCTTCTTTTTTTTTTATGATTTCTCCGTAACTCTCCTCTAGCTCCATTCTATCTCTCTTGGCTTTTACAATTATTAGAAGGGTGCTCACTTGTGAGAGGAATTGAGATCAACTGCCTCTCATATGCACATTGAATTTCCTTCTTTTTTATGATGAAAGCTCTATTTCTCTCTTCTATGATCTTTGATTAGATGGGAATTCTCTAAGAGAAATTTTTAGGTGTAACATTCATCATTTTTTTATTCTACCCATTGATGCTACATTTAATGAAATATTACTGAATGGCCTGTGTTTTATCTAAAATTCATCCTAAACTCTCGTCAGCTTGAGGATTTCTTTGTTTGATGGCTTTCCATATTGAAGTGGATAAACTTATATGAATGGAAAAGATTAGTTTACATTTAATGAAGCCATAACAGCTCTTTTTGATGATTTACCTAATACTCTATTCAAATCTCATTGGTTTAAGGTATATTATATTCTCACTCTAAACTTAAATTACTTGTATTGCTGGCCTCAAAACTATAGAAAATCACATTCATTGCGACATTATTATTAAGAGATTATGCTTATTTTGTTATAATAAAATAAATTCCATACACATAGTTTTTGGGGTTCCCTTTGCTATGCAGATTATTAAAAAAGATCTATATGATGGGCAAAAATTCTTATTTGATGTTTTGCTTACAAAATCTTGGAAAGGAACTCTAACTAAGAGTACTACATGGATTAAAGATTATATATTTTCATTGTTGTTGCTCTTTATTTATAACATATGAGAAATGAACGTAAAGTTGCATAGAAAGGGGAATTGCCACTGTCTGGCTGTTCACCCAAAAATAAAGAGGAATGATGATTAGCCATTGGATGTTACCAGTTCAGTAGATTCTTGCAAGTTTTGAGTTTGCTCGGGGTTGCCTTTAGTGCATTCTGGTGATGTATTTACGAGTTGCTTCTTTTTGCCTATTATAATTTTTGAAGACTCTGAGAAGATATATGGGTTGATTGGGCTACCTTAATGCATTGATTGGTTTTGCTATATACTGCATTTTTTTTTTTAAATCAGGGAAGAGCCCAAAATCATTGATTAAGAAAAAAATTTGCATGAAAAGTATAATAAACTTGCGACTCAACATCTAGTGATGCAAAGAAAAATTGAACTGCAAACAAAAACGTGCTAGACTCAAAAAGAAAATGAAGAATAAAGGCAAAAGCTTCCAAAACAGGATTCAGAATGAGCAAAATTTCAATTAAACATAATATAGAATTTTATCAATAATGTTTGAAAAGCATCACCTGATTGCCCATAGATCGTCCAAGTGAATGAAAGGCCATATGGGTGCAATGACGTTCATCATTGCCCTACAAAAAAGAGAACCCCAAAGTGTCGACGGCAGCAGAAAGATTTCTGTAGTAAAGTGGATCCATGGCCACACATGAAAACAACTGAGTATATCCCTCATCTGAACACCTCCCAAAGAGAAAACATCTAAACAAATAATAGCTCCACATAGATGAAAGAAACCACCATCAGAGAAACACCAGAAAAAGCAAACTTTTCTGAAATGAACAAGAAAACTTTGCCTGACAGGAACACCCAAGTCCAGGGAATTAAGCCAAGCAGAAGAAACATGTTGGCCACAAACAAAATAAGCAGGAGAAAGAAGACCAGCAGAAAATAACAGAATCCCAACAAAAAACTCTCAAGAGATGAGGCGTCCAATCCCATAGAAAGAAACTCTTCTAATTAGATGCTTCAGAGAAAATTCATTTTTAAACCGGCCATTGAAAACACAAACTAACATGAAAATCATATAAACCAACACAGAGTTTAGAGAAGACAACTCCCCCTCAAGAGAACCATCTATTATATGAATTATCAAAATAAAATAGAAAAAAAAGCAATAGTGAAAAATAAATTAATATTAGCACTAGTTGTATTTCTGATGAATATGGACTTCCAGATTCATATTTACTCAAAACTAACATGAATTTCCACTCCTGTAAGTTAGACTCATACAAATGAAACGATAATATAGAACCTTTCCATAATATGAACTTACATTATGAATAAAATCTGCTTTACTGACCAACAAATCTCAGACCTTTTGATGTATGAACTACTATCTTCTACACAATCTGCTGATAAATTTACTAAAACCGAACCCAACATCTAGTACATTTAGCCATGCAATCACCTTTGCAATCCACATTAAATCCTAATACCTTCGGATTGCGAAGAAGAAGATTTGTAAGTGTTTTTCCTTTGATTCCCCATTCCCTTTCTAATGTCTGAACATTGGCCTTCAACTCTTCATTAAGACAACACCCCAGCACCTCAGGAAACTTTTTCAGTATCTTGTGGAGATCATCATCAGAAAGGCTTAAACTCTTCAAGTAATCCAACATCTCTTTTATTGAATCTAATTTAGGAGTTTCTTTTCTTCGTTCTTCGCCCCAATAAGGTGAATGAATCCAGCCAAAAGCTTTCTTGAGTATCCGATCGGCTTCTTCTGTGGTGAAATTGAACGCATAGAGTGATTGTTTACTTTCTTCCCACAGATTACTATCCTTATCTTCTTCTATGGTGGTCTGTGCTTGATTAGTTGCTAGTAGTTTGTATGTTCTAACTGATAACTCAGAGCAAAGACATCTTTCCTTTGAGGGAAATTTGATCTGCGATGTAATTCTGTATGATGGATTCCATTGAACTAGAATCAAATTTGTTGAAGTTGAAACAATAGCCTGAAAGGCAAAGTGCAAAAATTCAAATTAAAGAACCAACTCAACTTTATTACTTCCAAATGTAATTCATCAGGACATAGAAGACTATAAATGCTAAATGTTATATTTGATTCGATCACCAAATTTTGGTTGAAATATGAAGAGAACCTGAACTTAATGTTTGAACAAGCAATTACAAGGAAAGAAGAGGTAAAATCTCAACTATTAAATAAGAAATCACCTTTCCTAGCAATGTGCTCAAGTAACATTCAACAAGTGAATAATAATAATAAACACCTTTTATAGTAAAGGAACATTGCCATTTCCGGATAGTACATACTTTTAACTGAAGAAAATAACTTCTATAGAAGTGACTTACAGATGGGAAGGAGCACCATAAGGCAGTTTGACAAGTAGAAGAAAATGGCAATGAATTTACCAGCATCCCTATTCAACAAAAATGCAAAAGAGAACCAAATCAATGAGATTCTGAAAAAAAAGCATCGATCTCCTATCTTATTATCCTTTATAATTAGATTCATGCAATAATATATTAAGGAAACCTTAAAGAAAGATATAGATGCGAAAACTACATATTTTAGAGAGGCAAAATTAGATATCAAACTTAGACAGTATTACTATTGATTCAGCTACTTCATCCAAGCTACAAGTCTGAAGTGTAGGTCGCTGTTAAAGACAGACATTACCAGTCTTTGGTCCAAATTGATCAATTATATCACCCCTCATTTAGAATTGGGTAGTTAGTTGGATCAAATCGATAATACTCAAAATAAGCCCAAACAATTTTCCTATTGGTTTAGCGTTCTCACTCAGTTTTTTTACTGTGCCGCCCACTAATTACTGTTTTCTAAGACGCTCATATATTATCCTCGCAACACTCTATCTCAGTAATTGGCTTCTCCACTTCAGTTATAATTTACCATTATTAAATGTGAACTATTATGTTCAACTAATTCTTACTGATTTATCATGGTTTAGAATTTTTCCTCATGGGCCCTAATCTTTCATGTAACATTTGACTAACTACAAAAGTAAATTGCTTTTAATGATTTTGATCTTAATGTATTTGTAAGGTGATTCAAGCATAAGCATTATAATTCCTGCACTTCAGTGTGTGCACTGTTGACCCCATCGGCCCTAAGTTTATGATTAGAATTTGATGATCATAGATATCACTAAGAAAGCAGAACTGATGGTTTCAATCTAGTGAATGCAGGAAATAGGTATACCGTCAGAATATTTCAAGTATAGGAAGACAAGTTCAAATAGACTAGAAAAAAAATTGTGTAAGAGCAAATCAAAATAAAAACGTTGAAGACATGCAAGGAAAGCAAGCTAGAACGGTTAAAAATATTTTTTAGAACTATGTTAGGTTTTCACTTAGTAACACTATTAAATAATTTAATTCTCAATCCAAATTTTGTTTTAAATATTTTTTGAGATTTTATCTGAAATAAAGTAAATAGATAATTTGATGAAAAAGACCCTAAATCTATTCAAGAAAAATAATTAAGAAATAACATATAATAAAGAGTTAACGGAGTTCCATAAAAGGTTAATAGGTTGCTGTAAAGTCTTTGTGGGCTTCTGTGAAGGTTTGAGAATTGCTGTAATTATATAGAACTCAGGGAACCAGAAAAAATAATTAGTCTCTTTGCAAATATTTGTGGGCCTCCATAAACTGTGCTTGGCGAGCCACTGCAAAGTTTAGCAAGTCTCTGCAAAAGTCGACTTCTTAAGGGTTTTAATGGTGATTCTAGCATTTTTAAACCCAATGAATGCCATATTTCACTCCATTTTTCAGCATTAGTGGTTCATGAAAACGTGGAATTAATGGTTCTAATTCATTCAATTAATTTTAGAAGGCCCTAGGTGAAAAATATAAAGAGTAATATTAAACACTAAATCAAGACTATTGCTTTTCACTCAAACCCTAACCACTCATAAGAAATTCATCCACCAAGCCCTATTGTAATTCAATGAGAGTTTTTTTGTAGATCCATTTGAGAGATAATGAAAGCTTGCTTGTCATGATGCTGATATTTAAGGTTTAATATTTGATGTGCTTGATTTCTTCATGCTCTTGAAATCTTCGTGTAAGAACTCATTTTTCTTTTGTTTTGATTGATTTCTATTCGATTGCTCTTGTATTGCCTTGGAGTATTTTGGAGGAAAATACTAATAAGAGGTTATCCGAGTGAAAGGAAATATTGTCGGGGAGAAGATTTGTGTAACAGCTTCTCTGCCTGTCGAGGTGTGATGATTTTATTTTAGTGCAAATTGCGCATAAAATTCTACATGTGGAGAACACCTAAATGTGGACATAGGGTACCGCAAAATAACATAAAAATGGTTACATGTTCGTATGAGGCTGCACTCCTTATTTATTGCTTATGTTGATGCTTATTTTCCCTTTAAGCTTCATGATATTACTGTGGTAAAAATAGTTTTAAATTTGCCTAATAAAAAGCTCAATTTACTCCCTTTCCCACTTCGGCGCATGTAAGCCAACATGCACCCTCTCACAAATGACAATGAAGATGACTACTGAGAATTACCTCATGACCAACAATGTCGGCATACAACCAGTTTCATTAACAAAACATCTTACCCTTTACAAGATAATTACCTTTCATTTACATATTGACCATTAACTTAATAGTTAATAGTGTTGAGGCAAAAGAAAAGAACAACTTTTCTTATAAACAAAATAGTCTTAAGAAATTTATATTCAATTCCAAGTTAATTAGGCAATGCAGAAATACAACAATACATCCACTAATCTCTATCTTGCTAGCGCTCATCTCAATTATCAATGCACCCTTCTAAAATAAATTCATAGGAAACTACATTTTTTTCAAATAATTCATATCATAGAATTGAAATAGACACAAGCATAAATAGTTGCATCTCTTAGGATAGCACATCAAAG